GGAGGATGGAATGTCTTAAAATCCAAATTTGTCTCCATCCCGCACAAACGCGGTGTTCTCATTTCCATTAGTGTCATCTATTTACATGAGAAATGCTCGGTGAGGAAATTGAGGTTAGCGAGAGAGAAAAAAGTTGCTCACATTAGACACGAATCCCAATGGATTACGTGTTACCATGTGCTCTTCTATTCCAGACCTTGCCCCACATTGGAAATAGGGCAGACTGCAATTAAAACACAGCAAACAAAATGCCACTGACTCTTTAATGGGAGTCTAAGCTGAAGAACGGCCACACTGATATATTGATTAATTTACTTAAGGCCACTCCGGAAGCTAACGCTTGAGTGGGAAGCTGCACTGGCTGCCCAAGGTCTTTCCCCATGAACCTGCCTTCCCTCCACCTCTGATTCAGTGCTTGCAGTATAAAAGGCACTGGCTCAGTCTTAGTTAACGCTTCTGCCACCGTGTCCACCAATAAATCATTTCTGCTTGTGAATAGCAGCCACTTTGGCGCTACCAGAAATTAGCCTCTGAGGCTGCTATGTTTTCAGTCAGAGATACAAGGTGCAAAGTACACGGGTGTCCTGCCGAGCTAAAGGCACCTCTCAGGCTTAAAAATTAAAGGCATTAGGAATCAGCTTCTATCAGCCCTCATTGGGCTCTGAATGACAGCTGCAGTGTCCCTTTTCATCTGCATCGTCTCTAAGCCCCGTTTTTATATGTTTAGGATGCTCCTGCATCCACAAGTAGGTTTGCCACCGGTGCTCACCCCTCTGTCTTCTGAGAAGCACCAAGAGGGGCACGATCTGAAAACTCTGCTGTGCTGGCAAAGGAGATAAGGTGAAAATTGCAAGCGAAATCACAGGAAAGCAACCCTTGGGTCCATGCTAGTTCTGGAGAGACACCTGCTGGCAATGCTTAAAGAGCCCTAACCAGGCTCTGAAATGCACTCAGTCCTCCCTGGAAGCCTAATAAAAATTAAAGTATAACAGAGATGAAAAAGGAGGCTAGGGGAAAAGGTTCATACTAAAGCCCTGGCAACAAAAACAAAAGCATGCTGCAAATCTGCACGCAATCCAAGCCCTAATCCCAGTTTCACCATCTTTCATGCCTGACGAGCATTTCACAGCCTGAACTCAGATCAGGGACAGCCCACAGGGGTAAGCACCTGACAGCAACTTAGCAAGAAAACATTGTGAAAGACCTACAGTCTAATATACCCGAGAGATTTGTACTTGTTTAACTATAACCAGTTTTTAACTGCCCTCCCAGCCAGCACTCTCATTTCAGGACAGCCAAAGAAACCCCATATTCCCACTTGGTGTGAGCTAAATCAAAGAAAGCTGAAATAAGAGCACGCACGGGGGCTACACGGGCTTGTTCAAAATCATATCTGTTTTGATACAGAGACCATCTAGGCATGCAGCTGCATGTTACATGCAGGAGCACACACACACACACACACACACACACAGATGAGGAGGAACGTGACGGACTTGCAGAAACCCTGGCAATTAGTACAAAGGAAGCAGGTGCCTCTAAGATATTTCAATTCCTGTCAATTTTCTGATAAAGATCAGTAGCTGATTCAGGCTGGCTTCTCCTTTTTTTTTTGCACAGGATCTGCAAGCAGACGGCTTCAATAACAACTGTTTAGGTGAGAAGCGAATGCAAAGAGGCCCCAGAACTAAGCTAAAGCCCCAGACTGGTGCTTTGGGGCATTTCTGCTCTTGTAACAGCAGCATGCTCTGTTCACTGCAATTATTCCTTGCTACAGCTCTGATGTATACAAGGCTTAAAGGAGAACAGAGCTGGCAAATTACTTTACAAATTACAATGCTCAGGCTATAATTCAGTGTTGCATTTTCTCCATCATTAACACCAGTCTAAGGAACTGTCATCTTCCCGAGACTGGCCCCTGTTGCTCTGTCCCATTGCTGCAGTCCACTGACCTCTTCACTGCCTCCGCGCTACTGTTGGTGGGACAAGATCACTCAGATGATCTCAGATAAAGGGAGTGGGTGCATGGTCTTAGCTGGGCATGTGTGGAGCAGCAGTAGGAACAGGCAGCAACATCTGAAGCAGGCCCTGCTGCTGGAGAAAATGTCACCCCATTCACAGGGGTTTTTTGCAGTTCCTGGTGGTGTTAGAGAGGATGTAAATAAAGGACAGGCTTGGTAGACCCGGTAGCAAACAACCCCGTGGTTTGGGAGTGACCAGAGGACTGTGCTTTCTTGGGGGTGAAGTGGCTGGAGAGCATTTCTCCTAGGATGTATCTGTCAGAAGGGAAGGGAAAGGCTGGCCGAGAGCATTGCTTCAGTCGCTGCTTGTGCTGGCCTTCCCTTATGTGGGCTCCTTGTTACTCCCTCTACCCTTCTGCTCCCCCTTGGTAGAGCTCTTCCCTCTCTGTCACATGGAGGAGAGAGATCTCCAAGGCAGGAGAGAGGTCTCCAAGGCAGGAGACCCACAAGTGGGGCAGGTGTCTGCACCAAACACTTTTCCCTCTTCCTCTGCACACCCCTCTCTCCGAGCAGCAGCTTGGGAGTCCCCGCAGTGTCACTCCCACACCAACCATGATAAGATATGCTTGTGCACACAGGTGAGAAAAGAAAAGAGTCTGTCAACAAATGTGCAAACAGTGCAAAAGGAGACCAGGTGCTGTTCCCTTTACTTCTCTCTTTGTCCCTGCTTGCATCATCTACCCTCAATTGCCCTCCTTTTGTGGAACGTGCACCCATCCGGCAATAGATTTACTGTCTGGTTCTGTCCCCACTGAAGGCAGCTGGGGCATAAGGTGAACCTGGCTGACTCCCCTAAGAGCAGAAGGACTCCTACATTGCTCCCACCTCGGGGCTGGAGCTTGCTTTCTTCGCTGTGTGCAAAGCAGCATGCACCCAGCAAAGCCTCACAACTGAGAGCAGCAAAGCAATGTGGAGGCAGACCAGGTCCGGTCCAGATTTGCCACTGAGACGCCACTTCACGGGTGGAAAGAAAAGGAATAGTAAATCCATACAATAGTAGCAGCAGCAGATAGGAAATAGTCACTTCTGTGCTTTACATGAGGGACAGGGGAAAAAGAAACCCAAACTACCACTCAAGCTCTTTCTACTCTGAGCTGAGCTCATTTACCCAGCAAGGAAACAAACTACAGCAGAAGCAACCCAGGGAACAAATGAGTGCGCATACAGGTATTTCTCCTGCTGAACGAACTGAAAAGATGCAAAAACACCCACAGCTCAGTTCCAGAGGGTGGCAAAAAGAAAAGTCAAATGAAACTCTGTGTCCCTAGGGATGTGCTACGTCATCAGCATCTTTGTTAGCTTGCTATCCCATTTCTCAAGCTATCACCTACAGGAATGAGTAGATGGAGCTCGGGTTGCCTGTGGGCTGCCCATGCCAGTGGGGGCCGTCTAGGGACATCAAAGGACGGTAATTACTGTAGCAGACCCTGCTCCATCCCACAGCTCCCTCCCACCTCCAGAAGTCCAGCCCTTTCCAGTTATATACCCCTGTCCTTGCTGTGCTTTATATTCACTTCATTTCCCTGTTTACAGTTCAAAATAGAATATTTGCAGCTTTCCGACTTTAAAATTTAAAAAATAATGTATTTTGGTTGCAAGGAAAACTCCAACATTCAGCAAACAACAATATTGTTTTTCAAACAAAATGTGTCACGCTACTAAAAATGTAAACCAAAAAATATTTTGGGAAGTGCTGCCTGGGTGTTGTGCCACTTCACCAAAAGATCCTTTCTTTAAAAAAAATGGAAACTGTCCATTGGCTGCATTACTGTCCGAGTTTATACTGGAATACTCATTTTCTAGGTATCCATCTCTTTAATGTGAAATTTGTTTAAATGAGACCACATGTTTTATGTTTGAAGAAAAGGGAAAAAATAGAGAAGCCAACATCCCAGAGAAGGCATTAAAGAGAGCTTTGAAGTAAACCACAAATAAGCTCGGAATAATATATACTTCTTTAAAATACAAGGAGCCCTAACATTCGCTGTACTATGGAATTCGCTTGGCTGTGACTGCTATTACCTAAGACAGGATATTCTAATACAGGTTATTTTCAGCTTAAGAAAGGTGAAAACATTTTCTAAGCAAACCAGGGATCAGAGGACTTCCTCTGCTGGTAAGGACGATGTTTTGAGTTTGGACAGTCCCAAATCACTCTGAGACTGGGTGCTTATTCCTCTCCTATTCATGCAAAGTATTTTGCAACAAATCACTGGAAACTTACCAATTAAATAATGGGTAAGTTCTTATAGGATTGTACTCCATAGCCTCACAAAAATCCAAATTTTTTTTTCCAATTGCTCCTTACCATTGCTTTCCGGTAAGAATTGCAGGAAGTAATAAAGACTCGTTGCCTCATAAAAATCTTGTTCAAGAAACTCAAGTTCTAACTCTCTGGCCTTGATCCCTACAATCCTTCCTATTTTTACACCACAGCCCTATACTGCAGCCTGCCAGTAACTGCAAGAAAACAAACTAGAAGAGTCACAATAGTTCAGAAACTTCTTTCTGGAAGACAATTTAAAAGTGCTATTATAACCAAACTGGTGGGTAGCAGTTGGATTTTTTTTTTTCTTGCCACATGCACTTCACAGCCCTGTGCCAGACTTCTCAAGATGCTCCTCATCTCCCCAGCCCTCTTTTGAGAGCTTTCTAATTATTTATTGTGTGTGGCTTTCCTTTATTAGGTTTAGATTCCTCCTGTGTTAGGTTTAATTTCCTCCACAAATGGTGCTGACCTCCAAGAATCAAATTTTCAGCAGCATTTTTTTCATCATTTTTATCAGGCAAGACATCTAATTTGCCAGTCCTTGTGACAAAGGTTAATATGTTCTCTTATTCCCAGCAGTCTGGTTGAAGCAGAAAGCTCAGAGACTGCAAGACAGAGAGTAGCACCCCATCATGAAAGCTGTAATTCTTAGATCCTAATTTACCAATAAATAGCCATTAAACAGAAGGCTTGTCTTCTTCTTTTTGCAGAGCAAAGGAAGAAATACTCCAATTCCAACATCATTATGCACGAGACTTCACAGTACCATGTACAGGTGAGTCTGCAATGAAACTTTATGGGACTGAGCAGAGACTTACGTCAATGATACAGCCTGATAAGGAAATATGTTTCATTTTCCTAAAACTTCATTAGGTCAAAGATCAGTTAGGAACCTTCTTACAATAAGCAAATATCATTCTCCACACCCCAGGAGGAAGCAAACAGCAAAGCTGCTTGAAACTTTCATTCCTCCTGCAGGAATGTGGGACTTCTCCAGTCCTTACTGAATAATCAAGACTCTGCAAATTAAAATGTTGAGTATTTGGGGAGTGGAGAATGGGGAAAAAAAGGGGTTAAAAAGATAAAGACAGTTCTGTGGAAGCAAACAGGAAACTGAGACGTTTTTTCTTCTGCATTTGAAGATGAGCTTTGGGAGCTGTTCTCGCTCTCGTCCCTCCATGCCGCAAACCCCTCTTGATCAGCATGGACAGACAGGTTAAAATGGGGGTTTCCATGGTGGCTACAGGAACTCATCTGCCCAAACCAGAAAGACCACATTGTTTATCATCTTTCACCCAGCAGCTCGCTCTCAGTTGCTGTATCCTCTCAAGTAATTCAAAACTGTTCCACCATGAAAGGCATTAAGCCAAACCCATCTTCCAGTGTCACAGACATCCATTTAAAAATGAGGAGCCAGTCCGGCTGTCCCGGGCCTGGCGATTCCTGGAATGTAACATGTTGGAGCAAGCCAGCAGCCTCCATACCACAGGAACAGACATGCCTGTCCAAAGCCAGAGGCACCATTCATCACTGAGAACTGGACAAGACAAGAAAGATGACAATTCCAGAAAGGAAAGCACTTCATGAGGTCTATATTTTAGTAAATAGGGCCTTCTTTTCTCTGGTTTACAGCTCCAGTTCAGCAAAGAGTTTAAGTACACACTTAACTTAGAAATAAAAAAGCCCGCTCCATTGCTTAAAATGAAATTTAGATTTTAAAAAAAGCTTGTTTGCATAGAGGCTCTGGTTTCCCTCTCAGAAAATAACTTGATGACCAAACACCTCACTTTTAGTACTGGCCCACAGACGTGCTGTCCATGGCAGCCAAATGTCCCCGACGACAACAAGGAAGAGGTTGCTTCACTCAGCTCTTAGACTACTGCACCACACGTCACGCAGCCCTTGCAGTGGAAATCGTCTGTGGCCGTATGCCAGTAGCTAAAAGGCCATGGATCCCTTTTTCTTCATGTGATCTCTCTTTGATTTTACCTACAAGAAGGTCCACCTGCCTTTTGTTTCAAGCTGTCATGAAGAACCCCAGAGTGAGCTCTACCAAATGAAGTCACTCATGAAGGCAGAGAGGGGACTTTAAGCAGTGACATGTACACGAATCCTTCATTAATTATGCCATATGCCATGCATTTGCGAGTCTCTACCTTGAACTTTGATCAAGACAAACAGGATTTCAGTGGCAGGCAGGGAGGCAGGAGGAGGCTTTCTCATAAAAGGTATTTTACATCCTCAAAGTAATCCATAAGCAGATCAAAGTTTAATCGTAGAGGGAGTAATTGCCTATTCTTACAGGAGTTACTATATTTGAAGCTCCCTCTGGATGAAAGGGGTTTTTAATGAGATTTAAAAAAAAATAACAGCAGGTTTTTCTCCTCCTCACTCTACTAGTATCTAAACAAAACAGAAAGGAAAAAATATTCTAATAAATCTGAGTCAGACAAGTAGCTTTACCCTCCATGAAAACTAACTTACCTAATTGTAAATAACAAAGGAATTTATGAAGATTGTAAACCTGGCAGTTAAAATAATAGAACAGATAAGAATGCCAGTCATCAGGTATAAACCAATTCAGTTCATTGCTCGGAAAGTAGAGGAGTTGTCACCTCTGCACCGATAATATTGACTTTGTGAATACCTTTCATGCAGCATTTTACAATTACAGTAACACATTCCTGAGCGTGTTCTTCATATTTGATTGCATGGCCAGTCTCAGCTTTCAGTATACCTGCTCAAATAACTGCCAGGAGTTTTATTTAGCTATTGCCTCACCCCATACCTTTGCTTTATGAACCAAGAATTGGGTCTTCACTTAAAACCTGCAGTGTTTTGGCCTCTTCTCTGCTCTATCCACTCCCACAGCGCTCTCTCTTCTCCTCATGAATTATCCAGTTACCACCTTAACAACAAAGGGGTGACCACAAATCTTCTCCCTTCCTAATTCCCATCGTCTAAGTCCCATCACAGTCCTCATGGGGATCCTCCCGCTAGTGTACTGAACTTGGCTGGGATGTTGCTATGTCTTTGACCATCATGTTTAAGGACTCTGCCTTCTCTGCCTGTCGGGGCTTTGAACTAGAGCCTTTCCCTCGGCAGCCACCTCTTCTGGAAACAATTCTGACTCCAGTTCTTGTCTGTAGGTCCCTGAGCCCATCCCGTCAGGTGCCTCATTCTGAGTGTGTGGATTCCTTCAAGTCTGTCTGGTCCACAACGGGCACAATGTGCTCAGCCTCTCCGAGGCCCCTTCATTACTTTCTCCAAGGCAGGACAGTGCTGGTCCCCACCCTGGACCTGGAGCAAGGCCAGCTTTTGCTGCTTGTTAGCCCACCTCCCAGTCCACATCCTCCCGCTTTTTTACAGGTAGAAAGGACTTCCATAAAGCAACTCTCTTATCCTCCTTCAAGGCACATATCTGTCATGAGTTCCAGAGGACACTGCCCACTGGTGTTGGTTAACCAGCTCATGAGCTGAGACTGATAGGGGGAGTGGACAGATTCTCCCTCAGCCTTTTTCTGTTCTCTTCTTGCATTTTGCATCTCTCGCATGCCAGTCCTCAAAGACAAAGACTGTCTTTTTGTGCTGTGTCTGGAACAGTGGACCTTGATCCCAATACAGCACCACCACAGCAAAGAGTGGGCACCAGAAAGAAACGGCCTATACCCTAAAAAGGGTATGATCTCTGGGAAAAGTCACAAAGACAAGGGCTCAGAAGGAGAAAAGCTAGGCAAAACTCATCCTTGTACAAGAGTCAACAAATGGTCTCTCCAAATTTTATATCCCAATTTGTTGCTTGCTTTAAATGCCTCCCATTTTTTCCCAGCTCCTGGGCTGCAATCAGGCTGCAGGATTTGAGTGTCTATCAAAGACAAGCAGGAGTTTCCACTGCTACCATGGACACAAACACAAAATGCCTGGCAGGAGTCTTTCTGGAGTTGTTGCACTGTTGCCTCCATCCTCCTAGTGACTGTGTAACACACCTCCTGTACCTGCACTAGTGCAGGTGGAGGCCCGCAGTACCCAGGTCCCACTGCCAGCAACATTAAGCAGCTCCACAGCTCTTCAGCTGAGCCACAAGAATCCACCCGATTTCACAGAATCACAGAATCACAGAATCGTTTAGGTTGGAAGGGACCTCTGGAGATCATCTAGTCCAACCTCCTTGTTCAAGCAGGGTCACCTAGAGCATATTGCCCAGGATCACATCCAGACGGGTTTTGAATATCTCCAGCGAAGGAGACTCCACTACCTCTCTGGGCAACCTGTTCCAATGCTCTGTCACCCTCACAGTCAAGAAGTTTTTTCTCAGGTTCAGGTGGAACTTCCTGTGGTTCAGTTTAGCAGCAACATGTCATTCAGCCTTAATCAAGTTAGGGAAGCGACACTCAAAAGTGTCAGGTTGGTAGATGAGTCATAGATATTCCAGGGAAGAGAGAAGGATCTGGGACCTGTCCTCATAAGGTCTCCTGGCAGCAGGTCCTAGGACCAGCTGCAGCACACACCGCATTGATCAGGCCTGTAACATGCCCATCCAAAAACCTCCTGCCTACCTCTTCTGGAGAATGTTGCTTAAGACAGGGACAGGGAAAGCATTCAACCACTTCCCCAGCTGGGCACATTCTCCTTCCCTTTTCATCACGGCGGGGCAGTAGAGGGAACAAGGCGAAACAGGACCATTTTCTTTTGTTTCCCTAATTTTTTCCCTCCCTTGCTATCGCCTGCACATGCGGCCTGACTGCACAGTCAGTCACACAAGGACAACTCCACAGAAAACAGCCTGGCTGCTCTGGTACAGAAATATTGCAAAAGCACTGCTGCTTTGAGGAGGCAAAGCTCCCAGCTTATCCTGCCTTGCAGTCCCCTCTGCTGGCAGATGCACGTATTCTGCTGCCAGCGCAGTTTGTTCTCACTAGCTGAACAGCATCAGCAGGATCTGGAAATTAGAGAAGAGAGAAGTAAGTTACCAGATTTCGGAAGTTGACTTCACCCACTGGTGGAGAGGACAAACCACGTGGATGCAACACGTGCTTGTCCTTTCTATAACTGCCTCCCAGCCTTAAAACCGTCTCCCGTCCAGCATTTCACCTTCCTTGGAGCCTCAGGAGTAGTTGAAAGCCTGCAGGTTCAGCTCGATTACACAAACTCTCCCTAAATACAATTAGTGCCAAGTGCAATGCTTGAATCGCCGCATGCTTCAGGACCCAGAACAGGGCTGGGAAAGCATGCAAGTGCAGTCATGTCCGGGACTTTACTATCTCATCAGAGCTGCTCTCAACCCAAGTGCACACATCACCCAGCACAAGAGAGTAGGGCAGCATGGAAAACAGGTCGGTGACGAGAAGAGCCTTAAGCTGGGTTTATAGGACAGGTAGCAGGAGGCAGGAAAACCAGGGAAATCTAGCAAGACCACAGTGCGGGACAGAAGCAGGTAGCAAAAAATCCCTTCTTACAGTCGGAGAGGCTGATTTTCACTACTATAAGGGCTGATTTGATGATTCTAGTGGGAAGGTACACAAGGGGATTTAAAGGCTGGAGCAGAGTCAGGTGTTGGGTTTGGAGCTGTTTTGCAGATTGAGAAGCTTTGCAGTGCAGAAAGCTCTCTGGTGCAGCTGTGCTGTGTGCCAAAAACTCCAGGCACTAAGCCTGGCTGAAGGCTACATCTGGATCCCGCCTCAGCCCAGAGGACTAACATTTATTTGCCCGTGGTTTGTGTGAGTTCTTTGCCTGGGACAAATTTCACACAGGGAGATCTGCTATGTGACTCAAGCAAAATGCAAGTGCTTTTAGCTTGGAGAGTTGAGCTTAAGCAGCGTACCTAAATTTCCAGCCCAGTTTCAAAAAACTCAGGGGCCGAAATTGTGTGTATAAAGCACCTGTGAACACACGCTACTGGATGGGAGCCAGAGCTGCTAGAATTGACATATGATGAGATAAATATGCAAGTGGTGAAACTCGTTATGAAAACCCTTGCTGTGTTATGAAACTCTAATCTTTCACCACTATGAACAGACCAGTACGGACTGGTACTAACAACCAGAACATATACCTTCAGCAGTGACTCGTTCATGCCCAAACAATAATCCAAACCTTTAGAGGTGGTGTCACCAATGATTTATGGTACACATACCATCAAAGCTTTTTCACTTGTTCTCTCTTCTTTTCCTCCCAACTTCAGCACTTGGCCACCTTCATTATGGACAAGAGCGAATCCATTGTGACAGTGGATGATGCCATCAGAAAACTCATGTTGCTCAGTTCAAAAGAGAAGATCTGGACCCAGGAGATGCTGCTGCAAGTGAATGACAAGTCCATCCGCCTGCTGGACTGCGAGTCGCAGGTAGCCACAGGGCTCCAGGGAAAGTTACCTGCAGGTTATTGGGTTTGGTGTGTGCCCTTCCCATTCTGCTTGGGATGGCAATTCTTCAGGAACCTGAATAAGGGTAAATCACTCCACTCCTGGGTGCACTGGGGCTGGCTGATTTTAACTCAAATGCAGGCAGGTGTGGTCTGATTTATTCACAGATCCAGAGCACAGATACCACCTAGATGGGAGATGCCTTGAGCTGTGCTCCAGGCCAGCAATAAAACTGCTTTCCGTGGGAGTGATGCAGACCTACAGATCCATGGAGATCTGCAAATAGCATGAGCAGAAAGGGAAGGACCTAGGACTTGCATTATAATAAGAATCTCCTACCCAAGAAAAGCATCCCATTTTGACAGACAATACATGCACACAGGGTACCCAATCTGACAGGACAGAACAGCCAGAGAGTGGGAAAAGGGCAGCGCTGCCCACATTTAAGCAATGAGAAACCAAAAAATATTAGCCCAAGGTCACCCAAGGAGTCAGTGGGAGGCCAAGCCCCATCACTGCTACTATCCAAAAAGCATCTTCCCAGTGCTCTGCTAGGATACGTGACAAGTGTGGGTGAAGCACAATAAGATGATGGTGAACACTGGGCTCAACTAGTTGATGCCTCATGCTTGACACCCTCTCCCCCTGCCCCATATTCAGGATGCAGAGAAGAACAAATGGAGGTTCACCTCCATTTGCCATCCACCTCTCTTCTATTTCTCCTGGGTCCCAAGCACACTGCCCTTCTGCAAACTGTGACATGCATCTTTCAGGAGCCCAGTAAACCAATGCTGAGAAGCATAAGCTCTGTCAGGTCTCTCCTTTCCTCAAACAGGAATCCCAGGACTTCATACGCGGGACCACTCCCTGTTCGTTTAACAGTTCCCCATTGCCCAACCCCTTCCTATTTCTTTTCCTAGGAGGAGCTGGAGGAATTCCCTCTGCCAACAGTCCAGCACTGCCAAACGGTGCTGAATCAGATGCGCTATTCCTCCATCCTCCTCCTGGTATGCCAGGATTCGGAGCAGCACAAACCAGACATTCACTTCTTCAACTGCGACGAGGTGGAGGTGAGCAGAGCCCTCCTTGCCAACAGGATGAGAGTGAGTTATGCTGGGAGACGGGGTACTGTGGCCTGCAGCCAGAAACCCTTCTGCGCCACTGGGCCACGTGAGACATGGAGAGAGGAATCAGCATCGTGTGTACGAAGGAAACTTCAAAGGGCAGCATGTGTGCAAGAATGACTGCTGGCTGCATGGATGTGTTGATATGCCGGCATGGCTTTGTTCTCGCTTGTTGAAAGGTGTGGACTGGGCAAAGCTACGCGTGTCCTCACAGAGAGAGCATTTGCAATCCACCTGTAAGGTCCTTTTGAGCCCACCCCTCCCACTCGTGGCACCAGGGCTCTACCAGCACATCCATCCCAGCAGCACAGCATCCAATGCCACCGCAGTGCATCGTACGCACATCCTGCTTGCCCTACTGGCAGAGATTTCCAGGAATTATGTCAGTGAAAGTTGTGAGCAGCCCTAGAGGTTTGCCCAGGCATTGATGCCAGCATATTAACCTCCCCAGGCTCCCAGCCCTCCTAAAATGGCACTCTCACCTACCCCACTTATTCTTGCACATGCACAGTCAGAAATGTTTGGCTGGAGACTACCCCAAGGCCAAGTAATCCGGTGACAGAGCAAATATGTCTCCTGGCTCCCAGCCCTCTGCCAGCCATTTCTTCCCTTGCCCACTTGGAGCTGTCAACCCTCTCCAAAGTAAAGCCCTTAGTAAAACATCCCTGTTTTGTCTTTGAGGCGGAGATGGTTCATGAGGACATAGAAAGCGCCTTGGCAGACCACAAGCATGGAAAGAAGATTCGGCCACAGACACTCAAGTAAGTACTGCAGGGCTGCAAGACAGGGATATCTGGGAGCAAAAAATAAAAAGCCCTCTAATCATATCTTCTGCAGAGAAAACTCAGAGCGCAGAGGTTGCCAAGTCAGCGCCAGCCCTCCACGTGGATCCAGATGCCATCTAAGATTTTAGCCAGTCTGAGCTCAGGGTATGAGAGCTAGATCTGATGGCACAAAACTCTCACATGCCCTTTCTGGGCAGTTTTGTCTAAGGAAGCTGGAAAACAAGCCCTTCCTCGCTTGCCTCATTGCTGTGGCAGAGCCCAGATAGAGAGGTCAAATTCCCCATCAAATATTATAAAAGCTGCTAATCAGACTCTCCCATAATTGCCATCTTCATGAGGACACAGAGAAAAAGCTCACTTAGGCCTGCTAGTTGAGTCCCATGGCAATTTATAGTGGATTTGAGTTTGGGCTGTCATTTTCTTTCCTTGCTCAAAACATATCCTTATTTTACCTGCCTGGGAATGGAGTCTTAGTCACCCATGCGCCATCTCTCAGGGATTTTATACCCTGAATCAAAACACTCTAGGGGAACTCTTCTGCTGACTGATTTCAAAGACGGGTTCTTGAACGTTGCGACAGAGCCAGGAAAAAATAGTTCAGGCTGTTGACTCCGTGCAAGGCAGCCCACCACAGACAGCCTCTGCTCTGAAGCACCAGCCAAAACAGCCCTGCACCACTACCAGATGGTGTTTACTGAAAGTACAGGTCTTGCAGACCAAACATAGCAAGCCCCACTTAAATCAGTCAACTCCTGGAGCTCTCCTTTGCCAAAGATGTGGGCTTTCTGCTTGCAGCCACCTCTCCCAAACCTGCAAGCCTCTGGGCAAAGAGGGAAAGTCAGCCAACGCAAATAGCGTCAGCTGGAGTGTCCCCTCCTTGCTCCCGCTGCTGCGTTCTCACACTCGGGAACAGGATCGGCAGCCACTGATGCTCACTCTGCTGTTTGTCTTGCAGAGCAAATCAAGAAAAGATAAAGCAGAGACAGTCTATCCTCCCACCGCCTCAAGGGCCGGCTCCCATCCCTATCCAGCATGACATGCGAGGCTCACCGATGAACCGGAACCGGGTGGCACCTCCTTCCCAGCATGATTCAGGTACTGGGGGTGATCAGCAAAGCTGTCCTGGGAGTGGGTGACTCACGCAAAACATCACCCAGGACAGCGCCAACCCTCCAGAAAGGGCCTGTGATGGTTTCAGGCCCTGTACTGCTGGAGCACAGGGAAGCACAGTGTCTTTTCACAGTGTTTTAAAGTAACACAGACACTATGAAACACAACGTTTTGCTACATCTCCGGTTGTGCTTTGTAAATGCCTTAAAAATTGGGCAGCGGCAAACATTTTGACCCTCTGAGCTAGCAGTAGGCATCTTCTGCTAACTGACAGCTCAATAAATCAAAGCTCCTGGAAGCTCCTTGTAATGACATCTGTATTTTGGGGGCACTGAAATTCCCAAGAAACATGAAAGCTCTTCATGAAACTGAACAAACACATGAACCAGGTATCGGTGATCTTGAAACATACAGACAAGACAGACATGGGTCAGGAAGCCAAATTCCTGGCCCTGCTGACTACATAGGAGTCAAAATTTCACCCACAGAAATTAAGTGGTTTGCACTAATTTTCCTAGAATCAAGAGTGAAAACGCAGATTTGAACTCATCTCTCTCATGTGTTAATCAAAAAACTTATTTCAAAACCATCCTGACTTCAGTCCAGTTTTAGCTGTCCTGAAAAAAACTTGTTTCCTTCTCTGGAGGAAGTAGTAACAGAAATAAGCTCCCAGAGTCTCTCTCTGACGAAAGCTCAGACCGACTAAAATGACCAACAAATTCTGAGCCTTTCTTACCACTGCCTGTTTTACCAGCTTCCCTTGGGGTGTTTGCACTCTTAATTTCTAGCTTCAAAGAAAATATATAATCAAGGTACAATACGAAATACTCCAAATACTAGCGGAGGAGAGAAAATATTCTTTTCCCGGGGATGGGATCTGAAGCCAAGCGGCTGATCTAGCCTCCTGACTGAAGAACCTATTTTAGATCCAACTTTGCATAATCAAAGTAAGATATGGCCAAGCAGAAGAGGCAAATGGGCTAGTTGCTTCTTTTTTTCTCTTTTAAGTAATTCATATGCTTATAATACATATTGCCATAAAAATCTTTCAGTTCTTCAGGGCTTCATGTTCCTAGGCAGGGCTTCAACTGGGCTTTTCTCCAATTGTACGAGCCTGTCCCATCGACCATTGAACAGCTGTCACAGGGTTTTTAGCATATGCAGGCTGCAGCCATTGCAATGCAACAGAGTCCCCGGCCAGGAGGGCTGCCACCATGTCCACTCAAGGACACTGCTCCATGGGTTCCCAGCAGTCCACTATAGACCTCTCTGTAAGCGCTCTTACGTGCATAAGGAGCAGCTTTCCAGGCTCAGCCAAGGTCTGAAATTCACATTTGGTATTTCAGAGCTAGGTCATCTATAAACACATATATTCTGAGGAACAGCAGCTTTTCATGAAATGGCCACCCTTAACTCTTCCCTTCCCAGTATGCTTAACATAAAGTTTTAAGTCCATTGCCTACATCAACAGGGCTGGGCACTTATCCAGGCAGAATTTCTGAACCTGAGAAAATGGAGCCTGGCATGAAAGCAGGTGGCAGAAGGAAGTCTTGAATGATGCCTGTTTGCTGAGATTGCTTCTCCCTTGAAACGAATCTTATTGCTTTTTCTACAAAACCTGTCAAAACTAATCACCTAATCTTAACACTTAAAGACGACATACAGTTTTCACAGTCTTCTGCCAAAAACTGCCTCCCTAGTTCTCCCACTTTGTATGTTCTGGTGTCTGAACACCTGCTGTCCTGGCCCTTTCAAATCCCTGTTCACTCAGCTGATACATCACACTTTTCACAAGAAGCTACCTGAGCAATTGCTCACATTGAAATATTGCCATCTCACCCTGTGTCTGTCCTCTGAAACCTAGAAGGTACTTGTACGTTTATTTATTGCAAGAGGATTTTTTCTCTACCCATTAAAAACACTTGAGAGCCTGCACATGAGTTTGTACAAAAAAGCCGATTTTTGCATGGGCCTGCCTAAATATCAGTCATGGCAGAACTCCTGGCCTGATGCAGTCTAGCAAATGACAGTTGTATTTATTTCCAGGTCTTATTTCTTCATGCTCAGCCACTGACTAGTTAAACTCATATCCGTGGGACAACCAAGGCTCCTGTGGAGAGCTGGAGGTTGGAAGAGTAGGTATGAGATATTCCCATCGCACTTCACATACATGTGGAGTGCTTAGCAATGGGAGCAGGGGCTTCAGTGGGTGTAAGCTTAGCTCAAAGGCAAAGGAGTTAGCGACTCACAACAGCTGGAGACCTGGGCTTGCAGGTCTCTGCCTGTAGCTAGCAGCTGGTTCCTCTTTACGATTCATTCACTGCTTATATTTGAAAACAGGCAGTGTATTGACACAAGAGGGTTGGCAGGCAGGTGCTGTGACCCTTGGAGGATTGAATCGGCAACTTTGATCACCTCCTGCATGAACTGCTCTCTGTGAGCTCCTGAGGTGCTCTCATAACCTAGAATAAATGACTAAACAACCCAAGTCAAGAGTTGCCATCCCATGGGCCACAGTTCCTGTGTTAAATGGAGCCCATCCTCAATCTGTAATGATAAACATTTTTAACTCTCCCTTCCCTTGTTTACCAGACTATGAACCACGAGGTTCCAGCTCCCAGGACCACGAAGAGTCCCGAGCCATCTTAGCACAGAAAATTGAAAAAGAAACGGTTGGTAACAAGAATGGTGCACAGTCAACAGATGGAAGGAGAGAGGGAAGAGAGGAAGGAAGCAGGGGGGCTGCTCCATGAACAAACATTTTCTGTATAGTTTAGTCACTGTTAAGCTGTACCTACTGCCTATAAAGATGAGGCGAGCAAAATTAAAGCTCCATCGCCAGCTCAGCTGCAATCTCTTTTTGTTCTCAAGTAGCCCTGCTGATTTCAGAAGGACTGCTCCTCCTGAGCCTGCTGCCAAGTCCTGGAGTAATTTTCCTGATATCCATTAGCAGGGGATAGTTACTGCACTAATAAATACAGCAGACAAACCCAGGCAGAGCTTTGTGACTGAAAAGTAATGAATTCAGCTTAAAATCATATCTCGATTCCCCATTCCTGTCCATTCTTTCAGGAAAGGATGTAGGCAGGCACAGATAGGCACATTCTGGGATTCGGGCTTCCCAGACGCGAGCAGTTCATCTCTTTCACCTTGGTTCGTTGTGCTTCTGTCCTCACAGCAAACTCTGAACTGCACTCTGGATGACATTGAAGTGTTCGTTGCCAGGCTTCAGAAGGCTGCAGAGGCATTCAAACAGCTCAACCAAAGGAAGAAAGGGAAGAAGAACAAGAAGAAAGGACCAGCAGGTATATTGCGTCAACTAGAACAAACGGGCAACATGGGGCAGGGATGAAGGTTAGGAGGAAACCTAAGCAGGCTCACACCCTAGCAAGGCCCGGTCAGTGCAGCAGCATGGCTATGGATCCAACAACAGATATACAGGAGGTCCTGCTGCTCCTTGGGAACCTATTTCAGAGCTTAGGGAAGCCTCCAGCACAGAGAGCGATCTTTTGGCTTTCATCTCTTGATTTTGAGTAGTTCTAGCCTCAGCATCTGTCACTGCTGTCTTGTGCATGCCAGCGAGATGAACCTCTCCTGGAAAGGGATGTTCTAATGAAAGTGTCTTTCTCTCCACCTTTTTATAAAAGAGGGAGTACTGACTCTTCGAGCAAGACCCCCAAGCGAGGCTGAGTTCATCGACTGCTTCCAGAAAACCAAACTGGCTTTTAACCTCTTGGTAAGACATGGAGGGTATTTTGGTCCCACGCAGTGATAGGGCTGTTTCCCTATATATCACAGTCGCTAAACATTTAAAATGAAATTTGAACCAAAACCACTATCAAAGTGCAAAGGTGTGAATTCCAGATTTCTCTGCCATAAACAACCACAAAACAAACATTGTTTCAAGCTTGTGTAGGTTTCTCTGGTCAAGGTATTAAACTGAAAAGAAAGGCATAAAGTCTAAGTTCCAAAAATGCACAAACCTTCCTGCCTGCCTGTGCAAATACCTGCATCATGCTCCCATGCAACAGGTACTAAGACCCCTGTTTCACACTTTGTGCTGATGTGTATCAGCTCTGCCACCAAAAGGAGCTACCTTTTCCTCTCCATACCTTCCTTCTCTGTAGGACCAGCACAAGCTTTTGTGGCCCTGCATGGGACTGGGGATAGCATGCACGTTAAAACAAACCAATTTCCTTTTGCATGCTAATTTTAAGCCAAATCAGTTCCCTTACTAGATTCACTTTGTGGCTGCAGAGATCTTAGTCCAGTCCAAACTGAGTGATGACACACAGGATGGGACTGAACAGCCAGGGGCCTGGCAATGCCAGGATCTCTTTTCAGATGCAGCCTTGACTTAAAGCATTTATGAAGCCATGACCCTAGAGATCTAGGAACCATCATGCTCACTTTGCTGATAGCTCTGCCAAGGCTTACATAGACATCCCTACTGTTCATATGCAATTCTGTTTCTGCCCTTTAAAAATCTGGGTGATTTTGTGAGCGCTCTAGTTTTTGTTATCCCTCCAAGGCATAAAATTTAGGACTTAAGCGTATATATAAAAAAAGATAACTTACGTTCATGTCTGATTCTGTCTACTGAGCAGCTGTAAAGCTGCCTCAGCCAGGGGCCTGGGAAGTCCCCAGTTATAACTGATCACACTGACCTCCTCCGTTGCCCTGAGATTTCTACCTCCTCCTCTGTTTCTCCTCTGCATTAAGAAGAGGATGAAGAGCAGGAGCACAAAGATGTTCCCAGTGCTGCCAATTCCACTTAATTAAGCATGCGAGCCCATCAGGCTAATAAGCCAGAAGGAAGTTCTGTCAGTTCTGACCAAGCTTGCCCAGTGAACACAACCTAACAAGATCATTCCTGAGAAGTTATTAGTAAGGAAACCACAGATATTGTAAACAAGCCCAAGGCAGCCCAGAATTCCAAGCGCAGACCTTTTCTTTTAGAACAAATATTTGTACTTTTTTGCTCGCTCAGGACCAGAGCTGAGATTTGGAGGTGACAGCTCTGGCCAGCAATCTCTGCTGTCACACAAGAAACAGAGCAGGCACCCTGCTAAGGCTATGCCCTGCCTGCACAGGGTGATGTAAAAGCTGCCCTGAGGAAGCAGCTGAAGATTTTCCAAGCAGAAAGAAATCCTGGCTGGGTTATTGCATCCTAGCCCTTTCTGGCTGCTCACACAGCCGAGATAAATACAGTAGAGCCAGCGCGGTCAGCCAAACCTTTAGTCACATCCTATGTCTACACCGGAGCTAGCGGCGTCCTATCCAGTACTAGCCAACTTGGCCACCGCCAATAGTGTAACACAGTCGCAAGCAAGTATTACAGGCTGCGAATCTGCATCAGCCACATGTGAGCTAACGTGTACAAAACTCATTCATGTATCTGAGCTCTCTCTGCACTCAGGCCTTGGACTTTGCTGTCCATGTGTCCACAAACCCACCAAGAGCAGCTGTTTTCTGGGCAAGAGGCCAGGGGCAAGTAACAAGGAGGGTGGGGAATCCAGGCAGAGCAGCGCTGTCGTTTCTGCCCCTGGGACTTTTTCACGTGCTGTGCGCTCCTTCTGAAGTGCCACTTGGCTCAGTTGCCCTGTTGCCATCAATTATTTCACACTTTCCACTCCACATTAATGTTTAATCACTAGCATTTAAAATGACTAGGCCTTGTGTTTCGGTAGGGAAGGGGTCTATTTTCCATTGCAGCAATGTCAGGAGCGTGGGACGTGAGAAAAGAATAGAAAGGAAGCACAAACTCAAGCGGTTTCTCACCGCAGCTTAGCTGATTGCTGTTAATGAAATGCAATTCTTACTATAAAGTAATCCTATGTGTTTGCTCCTCCATTCCACCACAATCTACTCCAAATACCAAGTATTTCACTGAACTGAGCAGCTCTAAGTACACTGCGCAGGCAAGATCTTGCTGAAGATTTTTCTCTGCAGCAATCTGCCAAGGGACCTGCAGAACATTCACTCTGTTGTGCTCATTCACGGGAACTGACGGGATTTTCAACTTTGCAAGAATCAGAAGCAATAGGCCTGGCCCTTCTTCACTAAGGCTTCCAGAATAAACCAAGGCTTTCAGTTTCCTCTCAAGGAATCAAGGTCTTGATTTTCACAGAGTAGACACTTACCCCTTCTAGAAGTCAAGGCCCTTGGGAACGGACATCAAATAGAAATGATCTAGAACAGAATGAGCCCTACTCCCCAATCACTTAATCTTCTTCCCCGATTTGAAGTGCACTATTAAGAGTTTCCTTACTTTTCAGACTCTATTAACTGTAGCCAGATATCACTCAACAACAATTCCTCCATGTCACGGAACAGAGGAGCCAAAAACAAGCTAGGATTAAATGAGGTTTCCTTTCTCTTTTCAGGCCAAACTGAGAAAGCACATCCAGAACCCAAGTGCTGCAGAGTTGGTGCATTTCCTATTTGGGCCGCTGGAACTGGTAAAACTTCTTCACAGGCCTTTTTATTTCTAGCGATGCTGATTACTGAATAGACAAGACAAGAGAATGAATTAGGTAAAAATTTCTGCACCTCAAGAGGAGTCATATTCTGCCATTACCCTGCAATGAAAAGCAGTAGGGATGAGTGATCTAACTATTTTTAAGGTAGTGTGTGGTCATTTTCTCTCCATGTGACACAGTTGCCACATTCTGCAGGGGATTAAACTCAGTGACGAAGGAGGTCTATGTTAATCTGTCATCCTAGGATTAGGGTATATAAGTGCAAGTAAGACATTACTAGCAGCCGAAAGGAATTTGACCTGCAGTAACTACTGCTACGTCTGCCATGGCAAAAATGCATGGGTCAGCACTGAGTTACAGCCAACTGCCAGATGCAAATGAAATCAGCAGGTTGGTGCATATTATGCAGTCCCCGTTGAGCCAACCCCCTAGTCAAACATAGCTTTCTACCCATATGACTTAGTCCTCTCAGGCTGGAGAGATTCATAGTTCAGTAAAGTCTATGGTTGAGTCCATGACCACAATGGCTACTATTACAGCAGGGTAGAGAACATAACCAGCCCAGCAAGCAAACTGTCTCAGGTAAACCCATCAGCTACTGCTTTTGCACTCATCATCAGCTAAATTATGCAGAATTGTTGGGAGACTGCTCAGAGCTGTCTAAAGCATCCACAGCAAAATCTAGAAACAACATTGGTGCTTCTAGGCTCACACTTGATTTCTAGCTTGAACTAAATGTACCAACACAAACCTTAGCAAATATGAGTTGTTTTGCCACATTAATAAAAACTCAGCGTGAACAACAGAGTGAGCACACTGTGGTTCCTATTTGGAATCAGCCTAGTCCCACCTGCAAGCAAACACGTCTCAATATTTGCAGGTAGGAAGCAGGTATCCCAACTGGAAAAAGAAGCCAGAGGTGATGCAGAAACACCAAGTGATTCCATTTTTCAACATGGCAGCTTGTGATATATCCTATCGCCAACAATGGCCACTTTTCAGTTCAGACGTGGCCTTGACTCCAATGGAAAAATTCTTGTTTTCCTCTGAGCTGTCCACTCTTCTTCAAAGATTTAGGTTGGTGCTTCTTGAGACAACTGAGTTGATTTAAGGATTACCTGCTGTTGACAGGAGTCATGCAATCCCTCGACTTGAAGGCTTGCCCTTTGACTGTTGTTTTATCTCTTGGAGAACTCAGTCAGATCACAAAGTTGGCAGGGGAAATATGTGCCTTATTTTCTGTTTGCTTTTTCTTAACCAAAATTGCCTGTTGAATCAGGACAGTGAAAGGATAACAAAAAGATGCTGGGGGAGTACAGCATCCCTTTTAGGAAGCAGCAAACCATTCATTTAGTTCAACTGTTTCATGAAACCTCAGCCTTACATATGAAGGCACAGAAGGAGCTTTAGAACTGCTAGTCTAATATGAAGTGGGGTGGGTTTCAGAGGTACTCACCATAGAAGGTACATTGGCTTCCTTTGGAGTGGGCATGCACAGAGACTCCAAAAGATCAGAGCCACCTGATTTTTCTGTCTTTGATTTCTGTTCCTTTCTGTGTGCTGCTTTGATGTTTTGAACCCCTGCACAATCTCTCATATTTGTGTGCGTTTGTGTGTAATCCAGATTGTCAATAGCTGCGGTGGCCCCGAGCTTGCCAGGTCTGTCCTCAGTCCACTTCTTTCTAAAGATGCCACAGATTTCCTCAGAGGACACCTGACACCAAAAGAGATGAGCCTCTGGGACTCTTTGGGAGAGACATGGACCAGATCCAGGTAAGGACAGCACTGCCAGCTCACCAGGTTTCCCAAGCCCTTGAGAAAGACAGTAGGGATGCTCAGTTTTATAGCTATGTCAGAGGGTCAAGGATAAAGGAGGATGTGGGTCTGTTTCACCCTAACCCTACAATTTTAGTGGTTGCTTACACCAGTTCAGGGCATAGCATTTCACATTCTCTTTGTCCTGGAGACCTTGCTTCTGCCTGACACAGAGTAATGGAGACTCTCAGATCCATGCTCCATGTGACCCTCACTGTGTATTCCTGCTTCATGTCCTAGAGCTGAATGGCCTCGAGAAGCAAACGTCCCAAGCTACATTCCCAAATTCCGCAATGGCTGGGAACCACCCATGGAAGTCTTCCGTGGAGCTCCCTGGGAAATAGACATCGGACACTTGCAAGAAGAGGTTAGTCTTGTGCTCCCAGTCATCCTCTCTCTTCCTTTTCCCCTTCCTCCCTCTTTCTCAGAGTGAGAAACATCTTTTGCTGAAGTCCACGAAGCTTTACAAGCTCTAGAGCAAAACGCTTGAGGCCCTTGCTGGGTTTTATCAGGACAGATTGAGACGTCAGTTCTCTGATTTACCTGAGGGAATGCAATGAACTGCAGCGCAGGGCTCAACTCTGTTATTGGAGTGAAGTTCTAAACAATGGGGTATATTAGCATTAAAACAGAGGAGCAGAGATCTGGGCAGAGTCTGCTGCTTGGCCAGTACCCCAAGTGCATGGGATTTTGCTGCCAGTACCTAATCCCATAGCCTAATATGCAGCACAGGCACATGCAAATGGGATAGTCACTGTTGGGTTTCCCTTTCAACAAGTCAGCCTTAGTCCCTCCTAAAAGTGAGAGGCTCTGGCAAGGCAACATGGAGCTGTCAAATCAACCATAAAGGATGAGCAACCGTCAACTGTACCTGAGCTCAGCCTGCAGCTATTTTCTCTAGCCTCTGGATTTCGCACCAGAGGAAAACAGCAGTATTCTAGGGAGAGCAAAGCTGTCAGGTTCTTCTGACATATCAAATTCTGCTCTGACCGTGCTACCATGTGCTACCATGGAGTTTGCGGTGGTGTTTGACAAGCAGTCAGCTCAAAACTCAGTTGGATCTGCTCACTCCAGTTAAATATGGAAAGAAAATAAGGCCAAAAAAGGACAGCAATAATCCGCCTCAGCTCCTGAAAAACAGGAAACAATATCTAGCATAAAGTGAGCCGTTAATGAGGATGCTGATGGATACTGATTTCCCTGAAGAACATTTTTTTCTTTGGTGGGTGCCTCATCTTGACCAAAAGCTTCCAGGCTGTGATTCATCTGCCATTATCACCTTTCTCACCTCTGACAGAGCTTTCCCTTTCCCTGCTAATACTGACTCCATTTTACCTTTCCAGCTATCATCAGCCAATGGATATCCTTACCGTAACTCCTCACTCAAGTGTGGCCAGCCAGCTGATCAGACGCAAGCTGTGGATGCCTTCAAGCAGAACGTAACTCAACATGTAAATAGGTAAATATCAGCACCACCCTGGAAAGTGCTGCCTTGGCTCCCAAATGGTAATCTCAAGAGCACCCACCACAACATATCATGACACCAAGATGTTTTGGCCTTTAGATAACTCTCTGCTATTATTAATTCAGACTTGTTAATGAGACCAAGAGAACTCAAAGATCCAACAAGCAATTATCCATGTAAACACCATCTGCTATTTAATCACCAGCAGGTCTGCAAGGAAATAGGTTGCATGTGTTTTCCACCACAAGAGGTAAAAGTATTGACTGATTTCATTAGTCCACCAGCATGTTTTGTTTCCTAATGTCAGTCCACCAAATTAATATTAAGTATCACGTGCAAAAGACAGCATGCTGCACTCTTTGTACACTGACCATTTAGAGAAGTTAATAGCTCTCCCTTCAGCCTGAAGCCACAATAATTTGCGTGCAAGGAACCTGTTTATGAGGAAGAATCCATACTAAGGCACGAGCATATGGAAGTTTTCTGCCGTTGAAAAATTTAGTGCTTGGAAAGAACAATTTGATCTCAGCAGCATTGCATGGAAAACATTTTAACTGAGGAAATGTTGTTTTGTTTCACTGGAGGCAGAAGTTCTTCCTTTTGCTTTTGGTCACAACCAAAAGGAAAAATATTTACTAGAGGCTGTACAAAATGATAATTTGTTTCCAGTCTTGGGATTGACTTCAGACAACTCTTCTTAATGAGATAAACCCAAAAAAGGGAAAAAACCCTCCTCTCCTTTCCTCCAAAGTATTGGAAAGCTCAGCTCCCAAACCAGCACCAAGTGGGTGAAGACCAGGCCTTCCCTTTGCCTCAGACTTTTTCCATAATATGCCTCTCACAATTTAACCAAGCACTGTGCCCTGCTGTTTTCTATCACCAGTTACTCAATGGTAAAAAATCTTCATGAAATTATTATTTGTTCAAAATTTAGGGGTTTGTCATTTGTTTGTTTGTTTTGACATGGGCTTATGCCGTTCAATTTTTCAACAATTTTTCAACAAACTCTTCCCAAATTACAAATGAATTCTCAGCCATACTTATCTGGCTTTGCATTATTTGACTTATGTTGCGAACTGTCTTCTGTTTTGCCCAAGCACAAGTCTAGATTACCCTACAGGTTCACGAAATCATTTAATACTAGAAGTCCAGACCCAGCAAAATACTTAATCCTGCACAGCTCTAGATTTCAAGCTTCAAGCCAGACTAGTCTCTCATGGTTTTATGTTCTATTCTAAAAGCTTTATGAGCTCTACTACTATTACCCAAAGTTCAGTTTCATAGCAATGTACTTCATACCCATTTAAGTCAGCAAAATAATTCACCCCATCAAAGGTTCTGCTGGGACCATAAAATGCTACAGAGACAGTCTGCTGAGCGGGGAGAGAATTATAGTAACAAATTCTGTTTTCCAGTTCCATCTTCCTCAATGAAGCTATGAAAAGTGAGGAAAAGTTAGTTTACAGGGGAATGTTTAAGTCCATCTTAAACGACTGAGAGACAAATGCACTTAAACAAACATGTTCATCTGTTAGTCTCAACACAGAAAAACTGTAAAAATTAGCACTGAGTCCTGGAATACAAATTAGCAGTGTGCTATTTCGCAAAGGTGACTGTTTCCCTGAAGCACTACCCAGTCTAACTACAGTGTGGACCTGCTGAAGAGTAGATGAGCATCTCTCTTTTTCCTGGGATGACTGTCATTGATTTCGGGTGGGCAGAGCTATTTGAGTTGGTGGAGGGGGGAATTTCAAGTTATAAAGCAATTCTTTTTACTACAGAATATAGTTTATTGATGTGACAAAAAATTATGATAGTCACAATTCTGACAGAGATCTCTTTCCAAAAGAAAAACAAGGAGTTAAAAGAACAAAAAAGAATTGAGCCAAAGGGTTTCACTGGCTTTTTGTTTCTCTGGCTTCACCTTTCACCTATCATTCAGACTGTCAACAACAGCTTTTCCTTATGAATAACATTTAAGAAAAAAAAAAATTGAAGTCAATGGTGCTGAAGCAGGTACTGAAATTGAGAATGGGCTTAGATGTCTTCTTCAGTTCAGACCAGACTTGAGCCAAGTCTGCCTGGATGTTTGCCAAGATCACAGTCCTGGGATAGCTGTATCTCGTGGTATACTCATGCATTTTTCAGGGTACTTTAAACTAGTTCTCTAACCAAAAGACACAATATTAACAAAAATACCCATGCATCAGTATTATTATTTGCACCACGGCTTTTGGCTGCAGAGAAGTGTCATGAAAGCCCCAAGCAATAACCAGCAAAGGTCTCTCATGTAAAATCTAGGTGTGCACAAAGTACTCCTTAGCTTTAAACTCCTTCAGCCTTCACTCCTTTTTTCATGAGTCATTTACCTTCTGGAAGGCTCAAAATAAATGATTTCTACCTAACACAGGCATTCCTCCCTCTCCCTGCCTTCAGGGCATTGCTGGGTAAGGCCAACACTCCCTTTCTTGACTGGCAGATTTAATCTGCCTGCAAGTTTGCTCCAATCTCTCCCCAGCTACAGATTTGAATACTTACATATTGCATGTGGCTGCAAATAGACCAAGAGCTGTCCCAAATCAAGCAAACTAAAGACAATGCTACAGTTATGGGCACGATATAAAACCAGTAGACCAGTGGTTTCAACCTTCTTCAGACCATCAAAAGCTATCTAATGAAGACAGTAAAATGAACTGAAACCTAAACATGATGGGCTTACTTTTTAAATTTAAGTTTTAAAGATGCCTTAGCAGATAGATGAGGGTCCACAAATTATAAATCTGAAGTCACTGATTGAAACCAAGAACTCAGGAATGAGCAAACGTAATGATAAATACCGTAGTCATTAGCAGCATGGCAACCACTGCTTCACTGAGTTACACCAGCCTTGACATAAATTGGTGTAGCTCTACTAGAAGAGTATCTGGCCTCCTGTTGCTATGCCTGCTATAAATATAGGCACCAAAAACAAACAAACAAGAAAACAAAACAGATTTCCAGTCATTTCTACTTGTGCTCATTTTTGACATCTGACAGCAGCCCTCTCCCTCAGCTTCAGAGCCTGCTTATCCCCTGCTTTCGCACACGGGGCAGTTTCCCAGCTATTAGGACATGAGTGTTTCACATTTATTTTTCACAAGGGGTGGAATAAGAGCATTTTATTTGTGCTGTGCCAGTCTCCCCAGTCTTTGCGGCAGCAAAGAAGCTACTGATGGGGAAAACTGTCTTTTGCCCCACTCCACAGGCAGCAGCCTCACAGTCGCGCAAAAAGGCCACTGTCCGAAGAGCCTTTTTTTTTTTAAATAGAGTGTTTTATTAAAACAAGGGATTAAAATCTGCTGCAAAACAGAGGAGCAAGGGAGCACTGCCTCCCTCTAGCACAAGCATAAAACCAGCTTTCTACCTGAACCTGTACACAGTTACCACCACTTTTCTTTTGCCAGTGGACCTATACTGCCCTAGCTATTAGAGGGGCCTCCACTATAACTCTTTTTTTTTTCTCTCTTGAAGGAATTTTGAGGCACAGGGAATGGTCCCACCGAAGAGATATGCCAAAATCCGCTACGACTTCACTGCGCGAAATGCCAATGAACTCTCAGTGCTTAAGGATGAAATCCTGGAGGTAAGTGAAGGTGCTCAGGACCTGCCCTTCTCCCCTTTCTAAGAAAAGGAGAGAGATCTCAAGCCGGGCAAGTGCCAGCTCATTTTTGCTTGGTATTTTCTGAGCGGCAGCAGGAAGCTTTGTTCACATCTAAAGCTTTAAGCCTGAGCTGGAGCATGCTGACTGCATGCTTCAGGTCATATGCTCAGCTGAAATGTGTCGGTTATACCTTTTCTTAAGTAACAACAAGGAGGAAGGGAAAATATCACTGTGGCACACTGCTCACCCACTTACCGGACCTATGTTCACTGTTACCAAAAAAAAAAAAAAAGAGGGGGAGTTATTTTCTAGGAAAACACCCTTTTTCTTAACCTCTCTATTACTGCAACACTGTTGGTGGCTGGCTAATGTAGGACCGAACTCGGGTCTACCCACTAGCCATGACAGACATATGACTTGAGGCAAAGACTTCTGCTCAGCATGTAGCTAGGATAAGAAAAGTGTGTGGCACCTTGCTAGCAAAGTTCAACCTGGATAAACTGATTTATTTCCAAAGCAGAATTTCTGGGGCATAGATCTATCCAAAGCTAAACAGACATAAACATCAAGGCAGTGCAGCAATCCTGGCACACGGAGAAGTTTTCTCACCATACAGTGATTTGCTAAAAGCATAGTTCTCAGTTCAAATAAGCCTGCCAAAAGGAGCAAGGGGTAGAGTGCCATAGCCGATATCTCAGCGATGGGGCTCCCTCCTTGCCACATCACGGTTATGATGTGATTATGCTATGTTATGATTATATTTTGTGTGACGATGGGACATACTGTGATCATGTTATATGACAGTCCTGTAGCTAGGCTTTTTTTTTTCCCCTCATCTCTGGCAGGAATTACTTTTGATGTTTTTTAATGCAAAAAGAAAAAGCCCACTCAATCACTAAGGAAAAAGAGAGAGAAACAGGCAAATTGAGTAGGAACTACGAGTTTGTCCACACCCTAGATCAATTCTTTCCCCAGAGGTGCTCTCCTATAGGCCATTATGATACGGTTTTGATGGTTTTCAGGAAATACTTCAGTCCTGAATTGGAAATAGTGCAACGTAGATCTGTTTGCCAGTTTCTGGCCTCTATAATGTTATCCTGACAACTTCGCATTACTGTGTGTTTTCCTTCCACTATACACCGTTCTCTATGCCATGAATCCAATGTTCTCACTAGCAAAGGTATTTTTCTCCTTTTCTCAGGTGTTGGAAGATAATAAGCAGTGGTGGAAGCTGCTCAACCGGAGTGGGCAGGCTGGTTATGTCCCTTATAACATCCTGGATGTGGTGAAACTGGAAGAGCTCGAACAGGTCTATAGTCAGGTGATATTTAACTGGTAATTGGCTGCAGGGAATAATCAGCCACTGAGAATAATGTTGTAATTAGACCTCCTTGGATTCCTTAGGACACTGCGCACAGGTCTACCTGAGCCGGACTTCCCTCACGAGTAAATGAATGAGAGTCCTGCAGGTTCTCGAGTCTCCTATGCAAAAACTCTCACATTTTACCACCAGCTTACCTTCTCCCTCCCCAAACCAGGCATACTGATCCCATCTGCCCAACAGGCTCACATTTCTTTCCCTCTCTGCAATGCTAAGCACACTGCCCATCGCCAAGGGCGCCTGGCAAGCAGAGTTATGGAGCAGGTGAGGGTAGAGGTCCTGTGCTGTAGATAGCAGCCTGCTACCTAGCTCAAAGCAACACCCACCCCGAGCCTAGCACCATGACCTGGCATCCCAATAGAAAAGGTCTCCTGTTGAGGTTTCATGTTACTGAACATCTGCTGGCCCCACTGGCTTGAAATAGTTCCACCTTTTGCCTCTCCAAACCCACATGTTTCTCAGCTTATGGTTTACCATCTCCTCTTGTGAAACCCTGCTGCTTTCAGGGCTCTGCTGTGAACAGGATGTAGCTGCAAAAGTAGCATTTTTTGCTGGGGATTAAATTAAAAACAAACAGTTCTCTCATCCTGTTTAGTTCAGCACCAGGAGATATCACAGGGGTAGGAACAGGTTATTGGAGTGGAGGTAGGTGGAAATACCATCTAAGTGACTGTTAACTGAGTATTGCTCTCAAGCACCTTGTATTGCTAAAAATGTGGAGGTAGAAAAATGTAATTGCCCTAAGGAAGCACAGAATTGCTTCCCACTTTGGTATTTCACAGCTTGGGCAAAGGACAAAGTGCCCCAGCAGACCTCTAGAAAAAAGCCCTTTTTAGTCTAATCAAGAAAACGTGAAAAAACACTCTCCATAACAACTCTGAGCATTTGGCAATGCACTCTGCACCCAGTTACTAGAAGACTGAAGTTTTAGCTTCAAACAGCATTTCTGTTCTTCTCTCTTTATATGAAAATATTTTGCTTCCTGTGCTCTCCATCTTTAGGGAAGTCCGGTGAGCAGTAATGTTTGCACAACAAAAGGCCACAGGGCTGAGTCATGCTTGCACTGAACTGTGAGAGCCCATCATCACAGCAGTACTAATTGGGTATAAAGCACCATGCCTCTCCACGTAGTGAGCATTGCACAGGCTTCCCAAGGGTATAAATCCTTCATGAAGCAATAGGCTTTGGTTCAGTTTGTATCCCTACTTATGAGCTCCCCAGAGGGAACTTGTTCCACGCAGCTCCACCTGAGTGTACATGAACCTCAGTTGAGTGCTGCTAGATCACCACAGGGAAGACAAGACAGTTTATCCCTCTGTGTTTCTGGGAGGGAAGCAAAAAATTTGAGCAAGTGGGGAAAAAAAAAACCTTACATGTTTTTTCTTTCTTTCTTATCATCTAGTCTAATCAGAGGTTCAAAGGCGATCTGAGCCCCAGAGGATACGGACCATCCAGCCCAACTCACAAGCTACCTGCCAGCTATGCTGGTGACAAATGGGGAAGTGAAATGTTAGCACGCAACTCTCCCCAGGATGCCAAAGAACGTATGTTTCCCGTATCGCGTTCCTAGCATCAGGGCACCTCTTACACCAGATAGAGTGACCTCGGGCAGCCAGAGGGCTTGGTACCACGGTTTTGCGTTTCAGGACTTACTTGAGAAGTTTCTGTGAGCGCATACCTTTGCTTGCTACCTCTCCAAGAGGTTTTATTTCTCTCTCTTTACTTTTACAGTAATGGTATATCTGCTATTTTGGTTGCTGCGTGCATGTATCCAGACCTACCTGTCCAAGTGCATGCTCACTCACATAAGGCGCTGCACCAGGAGTGCTCAGCACCTTTTAAATAATGATAAGCAATAGACTACCAGTGATTTTAGAGGAGATGTACAAAGACCAGGCCCCAAGATTTTAAAAAAGTATCTTAGGAAGGGGCATGGGAACACAACACAGGCATCCCAGCTATTGCACAAACAAATATGATGGACACACAAAAAATTACATTAGCTTAAAAAACAATGGAGGAGTGGAGCTTCTCGAGCAAGGTTAGAATCATTTTATTCCCTGTAAAAGAACAGGGATGGGTACCCAGGAACTGAGCAAGGCCTAGTTTCGGTCAGGGCAGGATGTCTCCAGTGCAGATACCTTGAGAGACTGTTAAGGAGCTGACTTATGAGAGGTCCTTCACGTGGTCTGTTCCCCTTGGGATGGCAAAGCCACACAGGGCTCCTTCTCCAAGAAAAGACCAGGCAGTACAGCAGCCAACAGAGCAATCCTTAAGAGTTCACTGGCTCACAGTATGCACCGTCAGGTGGCTTGAGACAAGGAGGGTAAAAAGGTGATTTAATGTCACCTTAACCCTCCTTCCACCTTAACCTTCCTCCTCTTCCTACTTCTACCGAGTGCCCTGCTGCAACCAAGGGTCTTTAGGGCACTAAAAGTAATCTAGTACCACTGGCACATAAATCATCACTGCTCACGTCCTTCATCCCACCCTGGATACGCTTTCAGCAAGCTGTCCCCCAAAGGCCACCGTTCCCTCTTCAGCTCCTGCAGACTCCTTGAAGCAGGAGCCCTTTTGGGATAATGGAGAGCTCCGTAATATAAGCATCACGGTCACGGATCTATTAATAGCACTGCGTTATTCCACACAGTCTTCAGGAGTTTCACGGAAAAAATGATACTGGGTGATGTATCATCAAAGTCTTATGCTGTTCCCTTTCCAGTTCATGCTTCCTGCCACTTCTATTTACCTGCACAGCAAAAGCTAGAGCTCTGAGGATTTGGATCAGCAAATTATGTATTAGAAGTAGCAGTGAGTACTGAAAAGTAGAGGGAGCAGGGCTACAGCCTAAAAAAAAAAGCACAGATTGTAGGTGCTCCCAGACTCCATTTTCTGCTGGTGGAGAAAGCAAAGAGGCAGTAGGAAGAATATAAATGGCAAAATAGGGGTATGGGAGAATAGGAACCCATTCTCAAAAATAGACAGTCAGGCTTCCCTCATATTTGCTTTCTCACATGGTCTGTTTTTTTTTTTTTTCCCCTCCCTGCTGCTAGGCAAGCAGGGCAATTTCTTAATTTTAATAGCCTGAAGGGAACTAAGTAACTCAAAAACAGGAAGGTGACGAATTAAAGCAAAAACACAACAGCAACGAAAGACTTTAGGGAAAAGGGACACTTACCAGCCAGCAGGCAGCACCAGTGGGAGCAAAGAAACTGCCAGGTCTGGTATTTTACACTGTTAAGGAGGTGTTAAAGGTTTTCACGTCCTTTGAATGAAGGGTGATAAACAAGAAAGGTTAGCAACAAACACAGCATTGGTCAGAATATAAGTTTTTATACAGATTAGGTCAAAACCCAGGTCCTTACCAACACCTGCTATAGGTATCAGTCACCCCAATTTAACATGGTCTCAAAACATCCTCCTATTATTTTGTAAAATATGACGCACTTTTTTCCCCAATAAGTGCTTCTCAACAGAAGTTTTCCAGTCACGCTGATGGGCAGTCTAGCTCCTGCGGACTAAAAGCAAGTATAGCTATAGATGTGAGCTCTCTTTTTTTCATGACAGACCAGTCTCTACTCAAATATGGACTGGAGAATATGTGTTTATTAAATGAGACAGCTAAGAGTCTGCTGAGAGATACCATGAGAGAGAATACATTTTCTTCTAGAAATTATACTGCTGTCTCGGTGATGATCAACATCTGAAACAGAGATTTCACTTCTGGAAGCAGCAGCAGTTGCACCAAGCTGTACTCTCCAGTTAGCCTAATTGACATGGCTGAAGCAGTGAGGCCAGAATCGCAGACATGCCAACCTTGTACCAAACCATGTGCTTGTCCTGGGGGATAGTCACATCGAAAGAAACCCATCAGCAGCTTTTTAGATGCAGCGATTGCTGTGTGGACTAGGAGCATCTGGTTGCTATTTTGTGATTCTTCTCTTTCCATCATTCTGGAGAAGAATTGCAGAAATCTAGGTTTCTCCCAAAGAGAAAGTGAGGTTTCAAAAGGTGAAAGAAGTTGAGAATATTGGCTTGGGAGCACAGGACAGGGAAATTCCCGCAGTTTGCTCCAGCTGTCTGTGAGCTCTCCAAAACTGTGGAGGTTTCCCTTTACCCATTTGTTCCTGATGGAAATAGGAAGGTCAAAATGTCATTACTCAACCTACTGCTCTAACAAAGCATGCTCTTTAAAAATAAAACGCAAAAGTAAGCACTTCCATGCCTTTGGTGGGGGTGTTTACAGAGTTAATAAAAACGCTAAGCCACATTCTGATCTTCCTTACAATTTCAGTGCAACCACAATAATTTAACAGGATTTGTAACTGGAGACTTATTTTTTCCTCACGACTCTCTACTCGTCCTCTAAAAGGTGTGCCTTGTTTCCCCAGAACTCATGCATCAAATGGATGAGCTGAATGACGAGTTGCTAAAGAAGATCACAAACAGTAAAATTCACCCTCCCCAGAGGAATTTCAAAGTGGAAAAACCTCAGCAAGCTCTTGTGCCCCTTACCTTTGAATCCAGTGCTGAAGAAGTTAAAGCTTGGCTGGAGGCAAAGTCATTCAGCAAAGGGTAAAATCTGCAGTGCTACTATATGAAATGCTGGCCCTTCATTTAAAAAGGAGGGGCAGGCAGCTTGCAATATTCCAACTAGATTACAAGTTACTTGCATTTACTTATAGCAACTCTGTTGCAAATTAGATTTCAATCACATTAAATATGGTCTATATGATGAGTACAGTATACAGCCCAAATTTACTCCCTTTCATTGTCCTGTGTTATCAAGTAAGTGGTGTTTTACAGTACAAGAAAAGCAGATCTAATGAGTAGCTGCAAATAAAGAAATGGTCTTGCTAATCCACACAACCCACAGCCAAATGCTCCGCAACTTCCTAGCATGGGCGCTTATTTGGACCCACAGTCGACCGGTTCAGAGTGCTGAACCTACAGAAAAATAACTAACTAAACACGACCCAAGACAGACTCTGAAATACCAATTCCAGATCATTGACTGTTCCTAGAGGAACTGCCCTAAAGGATCTCTGGCCAGACCTTCAACCAGGGCTTGCAAATCTTGGCAAACACATGGACCAAACAGCTGCATATAGTTAAGGGTCAAAAATTATACTGCCCACCTGCTCAACTAGCTAAGAGGGGAAGCCCTAAGGTTGCTTCCCAGATGAGACACGGGTTGCAGTGAAATCACTGGGTTACCCATGGGGCTGGGCATGCACTGGGGTGACACTTGCTTCACCCTGATGGCTTGCTGTTGTCCCCACCAGGGACTTGGATTACCAGGGCTGCCAGGTGGGCACAGCCCCAGGGCCTCCCATGTGATAAGGTCCTGGGGCAAGGGCTGTACTTCAACTGCCTCTGACCCTTTTATCTCTGACATCCCGCCTTTGGGGAGAGGCCACATGTAGCACAGTTATCTCCTTGCTTTATGTCTTCCAGGACAGTGGATCATCTTGGCATCCTTACTGGAGCTCAGCTTTTCTCCTTGAACAGAGAAGAGCTAAAGAAAGTGTGTGGTGATGAGGGAAACAGAGTGTACAGTAAAATCACAGTGGAAAAAAACCAGCTAGAGGTAAGTAGCTTTCTGGACGATTCCTATCTGAATAGCTACCTGTACCACCAGCATCAGGGCGTCCCATTGAACAGGCATTTTAAGAAACACTGTTTCAAAAAACAAACTAAAAATGCAGATAACTCATTTAAGCCAAAAGGCTCCAAATTTGCAAGGCAGATCACCCTAGCTCTGCTAAGGAATCTGCCTTCTCACTGGTGCCACTCATACTAGCTCTACTCTTACGCGTTAGCTAAATATTATGATTCAACTACAGCTTTAAGTTAAAATTCAAACTTGCTGTTTTGTTTCCATTCTAGAAAAACAGAGGGGAGTCAGAGCTCCAAGAAATTATGAAGCGTCGCCAGGAGAGGATTGATTCTGCTAATTAAAATTCTATCTGCTTTTTTCAGCTATTAGTCATAGTAGTACAGAAAAAGGGAATGAAAGCAATGATCCTCAGTCCAGACAAGAGACAGAAGTGCTCCACACTTAGCAGTATAACTGCCATCAAAGCAACAATTCCTTGAACACTGTTGATAAGGATAGATACTAAGACCATGTCCCATTGGGAAAGCTGTTCTAGTATTGCATGAAGTATTTTTTTTTTTTATATCTATATATTTTATACTGAAATTTTATGTGCACGCAGTCAGAGCAGACCAGAATTCACACAAATTTGAATGTATGGCAACAGTTGGATTCAAGCAAAAAGGACCCCACAAAGCTTTTAATATAGGGTTATATGTGCTTGCAGCCCCCTTCCCGGCATTGCTCTGGAAGAGAGAGCACGGCACGCTGCACAGAACAAGGCAGCCTGAATGCTTAAGAGTCTGGACCATGGAAATAAGTCTTTTTCCCTCACCTTTCATTTCCTTCTGTGTGGCAGATATCCCTGGTATCCCACTAGCAAAGGCTGGTGACAATTTACTGTCCTGCTGCTGTCCTCCCATGCCCTCTTGTTAGATGAGGTTAGAATTGCAACACACGTTATCTCAGACTGGGCTGCTTCTTTAAATACATGTACCAGTTACTGCTGTCTTTGAACAGCAGAAATGGGTTTTCATTGCATAATAAAGAGCAGGATCTGAGCAAGGACTGAAGCGATTTCAGTCTGCAAATAGATGAGCTCAGTTTGATCATCCCTGCTTGCGCAAAGGCCAGCAGCAGCTCAGGCTCAGGGCAGCTGTGCAGCAGTTTGCCTTGGCCCTGATCTTGTATCGGAAAGTTGTAGTATTGCCAAACCCAGGCCTCAAACAATGAGAAGATAAGCCCCTAACATTTGCTCCCACCTTTAGTCACACCCAAAGCCATTCCCAGGGTGTTCATGATTCAGATTCATCGTCACCTTCACTGAGAGGCTTCCGAAAGGTCTAAGAAACCAAATAGCACTTGGAGTGGCTGTTTTAATATAAAATAAACAGTACATTACAGACATGGAAAAAATTGTCTAATTTAATAGATACTGTGTTCCTCACTTCCTGTTTTTCTTAATAATGCTATGTGCCTGTGTATGTATCTGTTTAGTAAAATATCCCTTTGGACTCTTACAATCTGTAAACAGAGATGAGGGAAAACCTCCTAGAGATATAATTCAGCAACTGTGCATCAGTCATTTACGCAAAGTTTTAAAAGCTCAAGCAAGCCTATAGTAGATTTCTTGTCCACATCAACATTGGCATTACCTGTATTTACATAATATTTGTATTTTACTTATAGACCTGCTCAATAAGAACACAGCAAAACAAATACATTTACAGGAGCTGCTCACAAACTGCAAAGTCTTTCTCTTTCACGTTAACTTTGGTTAACTTGAATTCTGGCCCAGACTCCACAAAGACTTACACATGCGCTTTCCTTCACCTGCTGTGAATGGTCCCACCTCCGTTAAAGATTACAGTCACCCCCTTGAAAAGTTAAGCATGTGCCTAAGTGCGCAACTGGGGCCGGAGCTCATATGTTTAATGAAGAAAACTGTACAACTATAAAGCAGTGGCTGGGGAACAGGTGTTTTAATTAAAGAACACTGATGTATCTCTTGATTTTGGCTTGTTCTTCCAAGACTGTTTCTAATGGATAATGTATTTTCTTAAGCTTTAAAGAGGCCATTGTTAGCACCAGCAGAATTAGGGTACAGGCAGGGAACTTGTAGAGGAGGATCGTGTTTTTAGTCACGTCCCTGCTGACTTGCCACAGTGGCTGAATTTGCAAAGGATGCTGGCCTTGCTCAGGGAGAAATGAAGAGGACAATCCTCCTGAAAAGCCCTGGCGCCGGATTAGGGTAGAGAGGGGAAGCAGGTGTGAACACTGGCAAAGCATTGGTGTTACAAGCACAGGAGGCTAAATCGTTTCTAAAATCAAAATAAAAACAAATGGTGAGCTAGGAAGTATGACACCATTCTTGTCTCTGTGTATAAAGGAAAATAAGTCATACAGAATTATAGCTACCTGGGATTAAAATAGCAGCAGATATGACAGTAGTTCTGTAAAGCTGTGAGCCACGGGAGCATTTCGTAAAATACAAATGTAAGTAACCTTATTGCAGAAGTCAGTTTTAAAATTTCCATGTGACTGAGCTGTGCATCTGTTATATTTATACTGCCTGCAGATATGCTATAATGTACTGTACATTAATGTAATTGAACAAAGGATAAAATGATATAACCATGCATTGTATAAGATTTATTAAAATAGTTAAGTTATACTTATAACTCCATCTTTGTCTCTTTCTCCTGCATATGAGCGAAAATAAGAGGACACAAAAACAGTTCTTAAGGCCAGGCTTTTCATAATGAGTTGCTGCTATGAGTCTGTTAAAACACACAACAGAAGATATGAAACAGCATGTTTCTTTTTGTTTTGGGGGACTAACATTCAAGAAGAAGGATGCTATGTCCTTGATTCATATCTAAAAATAGGGCTAGGTGAAAATCCCATATATGATAGCAATCAAATGTTGAGCGTTACAGGCTGAATCCAAAACATCCCCTTCTTGTCATGTTGAAGCACAAATCTCCCCTTCCCACCAGATGATGTAACTCAGACAACACACTAGCATTTACACATAGAAACACTGTCCAATACTATGTTTTGCACCAGCAATCTAAAAACACCGAATCCTGGTCAATGACAGCTAAAAGCAAGCTGAAAAGAAAGGGAAGGGATTTACAAAGAAAGCATTGTTGTATGAGGTTTGCAAATCTTGGCAAGGTCTTTGGAGACGATGAGAATATATTTCCTACAGTAGTCATGCAATTCAGCCAGGCCTTAAAACCGATGCTTCTTTCCATCATCTTTTTCTCTGGGTTGGACAAAATACGAGAAGTTTCAACAAAGCTATATTCTGGCCTATCAGGCAGCTGAAGGGAAACCACTGTCACAGCTTCCACAAGTGAAACAACACAAGACCAAAGCAGGGGAACAGCGTGATCTAAACAGCCTCTGTTTAGAGGCCAAGTGACAGATTCTGCAACATCCCCAAGTCCCATTTGCTGTTTCCAAAACGCAACCACGTTAACCCGGCCTCTAAGTGGCTAACACAGAGGATCACCTCTAAAATTCGCGGGAAGTTGCGGAGAACTAACAGCCGCACGTGCCCGAACGCTGCGGCCGAGACGGCCAAGCCAGGCGTATCCTTGCCGCAACGGCACGGAAGGAAACGCGCCGCCGCGCAGAGCGCCTTAAGCGGGCTAAAATGTGAGGTACAACTGCAGCGTGTCCTCAGGGCGGCGAAACGGGGGCGGATGCTTTCCGCGCTGGCCGGGGGGGAGGCGAGGAGCAGCCCCCCGAAGCCCCTCTCAT